TGGGCACCCCTGATATTTAATGTCCCAGAGTCTCCACACCCCAGCCTCACCATCCCTTCATTCCCATCCTGGGTAAAGTTCAGTTCAGTCAGGTTGGTGGGGGCTGTTGGTCAGAGGCAGATGACCAGAATGTGGGAGAAAAGTGGGCACTGTCAGGCCAGGAGTGGTCATGGAAGGGCCAGGATGGAAAAAGCTAGGCCAGAGAAGCAGTATCCTACAGCCAGAAAGGGATAAGGCTCAAGTATAGGCACTGGGAGGAAGAGAGAGGGAGGCAGAAGGATGCTCTAATGCCAGGAAGTGACGTTGAGGGAGAGAGTGCTGGGGGATGGAAGATTAAGAATGGAGGAGGATAGAGCTGGGCCACATGGATAGGAGAAAGCGATAGGGAGGGAATGTAAGAGCCCTCTTGACCTCCAGATCTCCCAAGCCTCTCCCTCTTTTCCTCCCTCCCTTCACTCCTTCAGTTTCTGCAGGGGACTGAGAACACAGTAAAATTGCTTCCTAGAGAACAGGGTATCTTACTAACATCCCGGCCAGATCCACAAGCTCTGGAAGGGGTAGGGTAAGCCACAGGACAGCAAAGGCACTCAAGTCCCCAAGGACTTTGAGAGGTCATGCAGTCTATCCCCTTGTCTTCTAAACCCAGGATTCACACACAGAAGGAATCATATTTTCTTTACCCATCCCTGGACACGAAGGGATTCTCAGCTCCTCTTCCAGACTCTCTGCTTCCCATAATCCCTGGCTGTGAGGAAGTTCCCCTTAAGACCCAGACTCTATCCCTCCCACTGCAGTCTCTGAAGCTAGCGACAAGCCTTTACTAGGTGATCACAGCTGTTCTTTAGGATCTCCCCACCACCAACATTCCTTCTTTCTTGGTAGGTTCAGGTAACCCTAGTCCCTCCTACTGCAGTCCCTGGCACCCTCTCTCTTGTCGCATCCTACGCCTCCGGCCTCCCGAGGCAAAAATACCCCCTTTCCCCACCAGGTAGTTAACAGAGCGGAGGGAGAAGGAAAGAGGTCCAGGAGGAAGGGGATGGACTGAGATGGAGCCTGAAGGTGGATGCTCAGGACAGATGAAAAAAGGCCGAGGGACTTCCCAAGGTGGGGCAGGGATGGGGCCACAGGGCCTCACCGGTATCGGGGTCTCCCAAAAAGGCGTCCTCGTCCTTGCGGCCCCTCAGCGGAGCCGCAGGCGCAGGCTCATCCTCTGGCAGCCGCGGGAAGCTGGTGATGCTCATGTAGTCCACGGGCGAGTAGGCGCCTAGAGCGCTCTCCTGGCTGGCCTCGTTCTCTGTCGCCATCCTCGCCCTTACCCCCCAGCAGCGCAGCGCCTGCCGGAAATGGCAGAGGCAGGGGTGGGAGGTGCGAGGGCGGAGGGCGGGGTCTGAGCTCCTGGACAGCCGGGAGGGGGCGCCCCCACCCTCCTCTGTCCTGGTCTGACTCGCCCCTGCTAGCTGAAGGCTGAAACGATGTCTGCAGCATGCACGCAGGTGCAGGAGGATGGGATCTGGGAGGGCAGTGGAAGGTTGCAGGGAAGAGCATGCTGCTCTGGGCTCCTGCAATCCCCGGCCAAACTCCTTCCTCCTGCCAGTCTGAATCCAGCTTCGGACCCCAGACGCTCCTGGGACCACAGACTGACCACTGATCGCAAAGCCCTCTTTGACTCCAGATCTTGGTTTCTGACCCCTAACTTCTTGGACTCCAAATCTCTGCTTGGACACCAAGAGTCTCGTACTACTACTCCAACTCCCCAGGCTTCTCGTTGACTTAAGGCTCCGCCTTCACTCAACCCTTAGGCTCCTTTTAAAGCTCCAGCCCTTGCTTCATCCTCAGACTGCTTTCTCATCCGCAGACCCCTCCTGGACCTCTCGTCTGATCTCACATGTGCCCTTTCTGCGCCCCAACACTTCTTACACTTTTCTTTTAACCCCTAACTCCTTCTGGAACCGCCCTGATCTCTTAGCATGGGAGAGCACCACTCCCCCTAACTTCACTGTGTTTTCAGATCTTTGAAAGCAAACCCTCAGATTCCACTCCAGAGATCGTGATTCAGTAGGCTGAAACAACGTCTTTGGAACCTTAATGTTTCGGGTCATGAAAGAGTTTTTGTTGTGGTTTTGGAAACAAGTAAAAAGAAGCAGCGATGGTGTGGTAGAGCAGGAGACAGGTGAGATAGGATTTTAAAAGGGTAAGAATGAGGGCTTAGGGAGTGGCTCACTGGTAGAGCGCCTGCCTATCTGAGACCCTGGGTTTGATCCCCACCACCAGGAAAAAAGAAAAACGAAGGAAAGGAAAAGGAAGGAAGAGAACATGTTTCTGTAATTTAGTTGCCTGCCAAGCCCATCTCTAGAATCATAATCACACCACAGCTTGTACTCCCCCATCTCCAAGAATGGGAAAGATCCTCTCCCTTATGAGCCCAGACTACTGCTCAGCTCACAGGCAGAGAAAAGGGACCAGTGAAGCCCCTGGGCACACAACATTCCTTCCTTCCCCAGCCCCAGATTCCATTCTTCCTGTGACCTGAACTGGTAAGCACTTACTGTGGATACAAGGAGCTGCAGAACCACCTGTAAACAGGAGGGGGCAGCAGTAGATAGAAAACAGCTGCAGAAGAAAGGCTGAGGAAGGCCGGCTGGTTAGAGCTACACAGTGGAGATGGGAGTAGGGATGATGACAGTCTTTATACCTATAGGTAGAATTACATGGGCCTTCCTTGCCACACAGACGTTCTTCTCAATGAAGTCTGGAGAGTCTATTTCCACAATTCTCCCACTCCACCAGTGGGGTTTGTTCCCACTAAAGATCTGTGCCACTTGAGTGATTTTTTAAAAATATTTTATTATTTTTATTTTATGTGTATGAGTGTATAGCCTGCATGTGTGTAAGTGCACCTTTGTGGTGTAATGCCCGAGGGGGTCAGAAGAGGGCATTAGATCCCCTGGAACTGAAGTTATGGACAGTTGTTAGCTGCTATGTGGGTGCTAGGAACAGAACCTGGGTCCACTTCAAAAACAACCAGTGCTCTTAACAGCTGAGCCATCTCCCCAACCCCAACTGAGTGATATTTACTCCATCAGTGTAGCTGGATGTCCTTCAGGGGGGGTTGAACCCTCTCATCTGGGTCCAAATCTCCTTAATAAAGTTTTTATCCTCCTAGGGGGACTCTATACAGGCCAGGGTCCTTTAAAGCTGTTTGTGTCCTATAAGCAAGGCCCAGAGCTCTTCCATGGTATCTGAGATATACCCACTTCCAGAAAAATCTAGTTTAGTTGATACAATCCAGGTAACTGCAGTGAAGTGTGCATCCCTTCAGAACAGTTGATGTCTTCTTGATGAAGAATCTGTTCCCTCACTGGGATACATATCTATTCTACAAGGTCTGTAATGGCCCCCAAGATACTCCTCCTCAGGATTGGGTAGGTTCGGTCATACATCTGAGCAGAAGGAGATTGTTTTTGTTTTTTTTTTTTTCCACAGTTTAGAATATTCTGGGCTTATGGCCAGCTGGACAAAGAACAGGGAAGCAAGTGGGAAGGGAAACAGGGCTGGATGGGGTCACAAGCCATGTGTAGGCATCAGAAGGCAGAGCTGCCTGCTTCAGACCTCAGACTCACTCTTGTAGTTAAATATTTAAGGATCCTCACCTTGACAGTCTGTAAATTGTTGAAGTGGGCCCTTCTTGGTGATGAATGTAGATAGGAGATTGGGGGTGGGAGCTGGCTACCAGGCTTCTTTTAATCAATTAATTAATCTTTATTTGTATAAATGTTTTTGATTGCCGGAATGTTTACTGGTATGTGTATAATGCCTGAGAAGGCTGGAAGAGGGCAACAGAACCCCCATGTAGGTGCTGGAAATCAAACTTGGGTCCTCTGGAAGAACAGTGAGTGCTCTTAACCCCTGAGAGCACAGTTGGAGAGATGGCTCCCCTGGTTGGAGCCACCTCTCCAACCCAGACCTGGCTTCTTGTTAGAGGGAAGCTAGAGGTATGTGAACTCAAGTTTGGCAGATGGAACTAGTGGCCCTTGCTGAAATAAAAAAACTTGGTAAGCAAAGAAGAGAATGTGAATGATTTCTCTATTTTATTTTATTTTTTATTTTATTTTACATAGACTTTGGCATTTTACAAGCCCTAGTGTCTGTTTGTAGCAATAAAAAACAGACTTGAATTAGAGAACCCAGACTACTAACTTGATCATTGTTTGCCCCCTGCCCTTTTGAGAGTTACTTCCCTTTCCAAGTTTACCTTTTGTGCAATCAGGAGTTGTGCTTTTTGGCAGAGGCCTGAAGGTTCCTCCTAGTCTTCACTTAGAGTCTTGTACTTTAGATCTGGGTGGAGATTTATGGAGGCAAGAATGAAAACGTTCTTGGGTAGTCAGCAGGGAGGGGATCATATCCTGGGAGCTCTGCCTCAAGGTCGGGGAGGGATCTTTCCTGAGAAGGAGTAAGGGACTTAGAGGAAAGTGTCACCTAGAAGGAACTGTATTCCACCTGGGTTCCAACTTGGTGGAGTGACAGGCTTGTGCAATCAGACCATGGTGCGTCCACAACGGATGACCCAACGTCTCTCGCTCGCCAGCTTTTCCCGGCTCAAGCTGCTCGGCGCCGCCGTAACCCAACCCCTTATCTGTCACTCCAAGACCCTAACTCGGTCACTCCACGGGCCTGCCTCCTCTCCTGTCACATCCAGCCGGGCACCTCCCCATCACTCCACGGCCAGCCTCCTCGCCTGTCACGCCTGGCCCCGCCCCTCCTCTGCCATTCCAAGGTCCCACCTCTCTCCTGTCACTCCCAACCCGCTCCTTGGTTTTCACCCTACAGCCACACCCCTTCCGGCAAGACAGCCCCGCCCACTGGCCGGATTTTCTATAGCTGTCTTTGCTGACCCCGCCCCTCCAGGCACGGCCTCGCCCACTACTGGATGCCGAAAGCCCCACCTCCGCCTCCAGGCCCCGCCCCTGCCTGAGGCCCCGCCTCTAGGGTGGGCCTGTTTTCGCAGACCCGGCACCTGAGGCAACCTCAACGGGCGACCGCGGAGCTCGTAACTGGACGCGATGGGGCTTCCCGAGGAGCGGCGTCAGAGCGGCGACGGGAGCCGAGGCCGGGGGGAACCCGGAGCCCAGGGCCGCATGCGGAGCTGGTCCCCGCCGGCGGAGGTCAGCCGCTCGGCGCACGTTCCCTCTCTGCAGCGCTACCGCGAGCTGCACCGGCGTTCTGTGGAGGAGCCACGGGGTGAGGCTGGGCCCGGGCGACCCCGGGGGGCGCCAGTGAGCGGAGGAGCGGGGCTCCCCTGGGAAAATGGGGGCTTGGTGAGGAGACGGAGGTCCGCGGAGGGAAGCAGTGGTGGCGGAGCCGGGAGCAGATGGGAGACTTCTGGAAGTTGGGGGGCTCCCTGGCAGCGTGGTGGGCTCCCGCAGACCTCGAACTTGTGAACTTGGTGTCAGAGTGAGGCAGCAACAGGTCTGGTTCCTGTCTTGCGGTCCTGCATTTATTTATAGCAACAATCCCAAAGTCGCCCAGTATAGAAAGGAGAAAGTTGTTAAAATATCGTTTTTGTTTTAAAAATTGGGATCAAAGTAGTAAGAACTTTAGATTCTGAGAGATAATCCCATGCCTTTAAAATGTGCTAGGACTTTAATCCCAGCATTTAGGAGGCAGAGGCAGGTGGATCTTTGTGAGATCGCTAGTCTACATAGCAAGCTCCAGACCAGCTGGGGCTACAGGAGACCCGGTCTCAAAAAAGATAAAAATAAAAATAAAAATCTCTATCCTTGCTTTCAAAAGTCTGGATCAGGGAGCAAAACCACATCCCGGTTGAGAGGCAGTATTATATTTGATAGTAGAACAAAAAGGACCCATGAATCACACCCAGAAAAATCTATGAATGGCTGTGCTTGGAGTCTTAGGCACATTTTAAAAACTTATCTTAGATTTCTTCATCCCTAAGAGAATAATAATAACAGCTTCATAGATTACATGAGGACCAAAGTGGCTAAAAACATTTACTATAGAATGCTTGATGCCCAGCAGACATTAAATAAGTGATGATTCTTTTAATGACAACATGGATGAGGCAGTTACTGAGCAATGCAAAATGGAATTGAATCAAGTGTGAAGTTCGTTGCTGCAGGCAGTGTCCAACTTCGAGTCCTTGGGAGTCTTTTTCCCTCTCTTTTTCTATTTTCTTCCATTATGAGTTCCTCTGTTTTCCAGGGGTAAGCTATTACCCCTGCAGGAATTCCTATTCTAATTATCTTGCCCCATACCAGTATTTCATCTATGTTCCGTTCCCAAATTTCATAGGGTTGTAGACCATTTGTATTCACAACGTTGATGTTATGCTTAGTTCAACATGACTGTGAATGAGGTGCACCAATTTTCACTCCCAAGACCTGTCCTTTTTACTGGTTTCTTTTACTGGTTTCCTTTCTTTCCTTCTTTCTTTCTTTCTTTCTTTCTCTTTCTTTCTTCTTTCTTTCTCTCTTTCCTTCTCTTTCTTTCTTCTTTCTTTCTTCCTGTCTTTCTTTTTCTTTCTCCTTCCTTCCTTCCTTCCTTTCTTCCCTCCCTCCCTCCCTCCTTCCTCCTCTCTCTCTCTTTTTTCTCTCTCTTTCTCTTTTCCTCCTAATTTTCAATTTTCTGGCAGTACCATTGGCACTATCCCAAACTCTAAATCTCTT